TCCAGTGATAAAGTCACACTACATTAACTATGCAAAGCAAATGATAAAGTCAAACTACATTAACCATGTTAAGGCAATGATAAAGTCACACTACATTAACCATGCCAAGCCAATGATAAAGTCACTCTACATTAACCATGCCAAGCCACTGATACAGTTACACTACATTAACTATGCCAAGCCAATGATAAGGTCACACTACTTTAACCATGCCAAACCTAGTTTAAAATTACACTACATTAAACATGCAAAGTAAATTCAAACTACAATAACCATGCCAAACCAATGATAAAGTTACACTACATTAACCATGCCAAGACACTGATAAAGTCACACTACAGTAACCATGCCAAACCAATGATAAAGTTACACTACATTAACCTTGCCAAACCAATGATAAAATTACACTACATTAACCATGCCAAACCAATGATAAAGCCACATTACATTAACCATACCAAGACACTGATACAATTACACTACATTAACCATGTTAAGCCAATGATAAAGTCACACTACATTAACCATTCCAAACCTAGTTTAAAGTTACACTACATTAAACATGCAAAGTAAATTCACACTACAATAACCATGCCAAACCAATGATAAAGTTACACTACATTAACCATGCCAAGACATTGATAAAGTCACACTACAGTAACCATGCCAAACCAATGATAAAGTTACACTACATTAACCATGCCAAACCAATGATAAAGTTACACTACATTAATTATGCCAAACCAATGATAAAGCCACATTACATTAACCATACCAAGCCACTGATACAGTTACACTACATTAACCATGTTAAGCCAATGATAAAGTCACACTACATTAACCATGCCAAGCCAATGATAAAGTCACACTACATTAAACATGCCAAGCCACTGATACAGTTACACTACATTAACCATGCAAAACCAATGTTAAAGTGACACTATATTAACCATGCAAAGCCACTGATAAAGTCACACTACATTAACCATGCAAAGTAAATTTACACTACATTAACCATGCCAAACCTAGTTTAAAGTTACACTACATTAACCATGCCAAGACACTGATAAAGTCACACTACAGTAACCATGCCAAACCAATGATAAAGTTACACTACATTAACTATGCCAAGCCATTGATAAAGTCACACTACATTAACCATGCCAAACCAATGATAAAGTTACACTACATTAACCATGCCAAACCAATTATAACGTTACACTACATTAACCATGCCAAACCAATGATAAAGTTAAATAAATTAACCATGCCAAACCAATGATAAAGTCACACTACATTAACCATGCCAAACCAATGATAAAGTTACACTACATTAACCATGCCAAACCAATTATAAAGTATATAATACATTAACAATGCCAAACCAATGATAAAGTTACACTACATTAGACATGCCAAGATATTGATTAAGTCACACTACAGTAACCATGCCAAACCAATGATAAAGTTACACTACATTAACCATACCAAACCATTGATAAAGTCACACTACATTAACCATGCCAAACCAATGATAAAGATACACTACATTAACCATGCAAAGTCACTGATAAAGTCACACTACATTAACCATGCCAAACCAATGATAAAGTTACACTACATTAACCATGCCAAGCCAATGATAAAGTTACACTACATTAGCCATGCCAAACCAATTATAAAGTCACACTACATTGACCATGCCAAGCCAATGATAAAGTCACACGACATTAACCATGCCAAGACACTATTAAAGTCACACTGCAGTAACCATGGAAAACCAATGATAAAAATACACTACATTAACCATGCCATTTGCTAATAAAAGCACACTGTATTAACCATGCCAAACCAATGATAAAGTTACACAACATTAAACATGCCAAGCAAATGATAAAGTTACACTACATTAACCATGCCAAACCAATGATAAAGTTACACTACATTAACCATGCCAAACCAATGATAAAGTTACACTACATTAACCATGCCAAACCAATGATAAAGTTTCACTACATTAACCATGCCAAACCAATGATAACGTTACACTACATTAACCATGCCAAACCAATGATAAAGTTTAACTACATTAACCATGCCAAACCAATGATAAAGTCACACTACATTAACCATGCCAAACCAATGATAAAGTTACACTGCATTAACAATGCCAAACCAATGATAAAGTTACACTACATTAACCATGTCAAACCAATGATAAAGTCACACTACATTAACCATGCCAAACCAATGATAAAGTTACATTACATTAACCATGCCAAACCAATTATATAGTTTACTATACATTAACAATGCCAAACCAATGATAAAGTTACACTACATTAACAATGCCAAACAAATGATAAAATTACACTACATTAACAATGCCAAACCAATGATAAAGTTACACTAAATTAACCATGCAAAACCAATGATAAAGCCACACTACATTAACCATACCAAGTGACTGATAAAGTCACACTACATTAACTTGCCAATCCAGTGATAAAGTCACACTACATTAACTATGCAAAGCCAATGATAAAGTCAAACTACATTAACCATGTTAAGCCAATGATAAAGTCACACTACATTAACCATGCCAAGCCACTGATAAGGTTGCACTACATTAACCATGCAAAGCCAATGATAAAGTCACACTACATTAACCATGCCAAGCCACTAATAAGGTTTCACTACATTAACCATGCAAAGTAAATTTACACTACATTAACCATGCCAAGCCAATGATAAAGTCACACTACATTAACCATGCCAAGCCACTGGTACAGTTACACTACATTAACCATGCAAAGCCAATGATAAAGTCACACTACATTAACCATGCCAAACCAATGATAAAGCCACATTACATTAACCATACCAAGCCACTGATACAGTTACACTACATTAACCATGCCAAGCCAATGATAAAGTCACACTACATTAACCATGTTAAGCCAATGATAAAGTCACACTACATTAACCATGCCAAGCCAATGATAAAGTCACACTACATTAACCATGCCAAGCCACTGATACAGTTACACTACATTAACCATGCCAAGCCAATGATAAAGTCACACTACATTAACCATGCCAAGCCACTGATAAGGTTGCACTACATTAACCATGCAAAGTAAATTTACACTACATTAACCATGCCAAACCTATTTTAAAGTTACACTACATTAACCATGCCAAGACACTGATAAAGTCACACTACATTAACCATGCCAAACCAATGATAAAGCGACACTTCATTAACCATGCCAAGTCACTGATAAAGTCACACCACATTAACTATGCCAAACGAATGATAAAGTCACACTACATTAACCATACCAAGTCACTGATAAAGTCACACTACATTAACCATACCAAGTCACTGATAAATTTACATAGACAGCAACGTTTAGGAACTAATCCCCAGCGAATCCATGCGGGAAATTCCATGTTGATAATGAACGTGACAATATTCTTTTTACTTCTTTGCGTACATTTTCTGAAAAGTGTGTTTTTAAAGTATTTTTAATATTCTTTTATTTGAATTTTTATTAATAAATGCTGTCAGTTGTTACCGTTCTGTGAGTAAAATGTGTGTTGTTGTCATCGTTCATTGTTATCGGAAACGAGTGACTATGCATGGGGAAACGCTGTTGTGAAAACTCAATGTCTCTATCACTTTCCATTCCTGAGATATCCGTAGAAACCAGTCAAAGGTCAGTGGACGTCACTCATCATGACGGGTAGTATTGTCTTTGGGGGAGGGTAAGTGTACAAAGTGTCAGCTCAGTTGGAGTTGAGAAAGTGGTTCAACAAATAGTTGACCACATACAAAGTTACAAACGGATAGGGCAACTTTATTTTTTTTTTAAAGTATAATAATAACATTACTTATTTGTGTATATTTAAATCCATTTTAAGAAAAAAAAATCATAAATGCCACATTGAATTGTATTGAATATTAGTAAAATGGCAAAAGAGGAAGTTACAGGATAACGTACTTTGTTAAAAAGTTAGATTTACATGTGTTATGTGAACAATAAAGGCAAATTGAAAGTAGTGCATTAATTCAGTCCAGGTCAGAGTGCAGACAGCTGGTTGACTGAGATTAATTAAGGGTGAAGAGAGGGATTTACATCAGATGGGGCTCCACCCATGGGAAGCTAAAGCCATGGATCGGTCTGACTAGAACTTTGAATTGACATTTGTTTTGTTACCGATGTTGTCGTCCTACAATACTGGCCCGAAAGTTGAAAAAAAAATTGAAAGGGAAATAATCAATTAAAACTATTTCTACAAAAAGGTGTAGATTATCTCTCTTTAAATGTTTTTAAAATCTTCAAAAAATACTCATATTTTTTATTATATATCAATAATAACATTTTTCTCGCCATTAAACCACACAGTTAAATAAAATACAGCAGATGGAGCCCGCCAACCATTGGCGACAGCAATGCGTGAACTTCCCATCTACTAAAGTTACTTAACAAAAACGTGAACTCAAGTTACGCACATTTAATAATGCGAATTTTGCTACACCCCCCCCAACCCCTTTCATGATACGTCACAGCACATTTTTATTTTACGCCAACCCGCTGCTTAGCAGACGCCGCGAGCTTGGCTGGCAAGCTAGGGTGGTAGCTCCTCCACAGTGCGCATATCTCGAGACCAACGAAAGAAGGGAGGGTTTGCCTTCGTCTTCATCTTGCTTACTCTGACGTATCTATTTATAGCCTGCGTCTTGTTTGCCCTGCTTCTTCTGGCCAATTATATATATAGATTACCGCAATTATCGAGATCTCGTAGCTAAACTATGACCAAATAAATCAGTAATAAGAAACTTTTCAATATTCACAGACATACAAAATAACAACAAACAATAAACCACAACATCAACCAACGAGGTGAATTTATTTCTTGAGACAAATAAAAAATACAAATATTCAATTTCTTCTTCATCTATATCTTAAGGGCCCATGATCAATTTATTGATCATTTTGGCTCCTATGCATGTAGATGGGATTTGCAATGTTTCTGTTACTGGTGGTGATGAGGAAATCAATTTCATTTAATGTTAATGAGTTTTGCAGTAATGTTGTATATTTTTACAACTATTTGTATATCAGAGTTAGATTGCAACCTTGTGAAAGACAACCACATTCACCTTTTATATCGTGTGATAGTTATTGAAGAATGTGTATTTTGTTGTTACTGTTCTTTTCTTATCATTTAAATTGCTATGAATCAAAAAATTAAATTCATTATTTCAACAAAAAAAATCCAAAGAACATATTTACAATGTTCATTATGTATTGTATTCAAATTTTATTTAAATTCAATCTCGAATCCTGCATCGAGGTCAAACCCATCCCAAAAGTCAAGGCCGTCTCCTGTCAAGGCCAACAGCAACATGCCTAGATTATCCTGAACTTGTTGCTGCATGTTCTCAGGCAAAAAGGCCGGTGGCTTGGAGATGGACATTGCCGAATAGGGGTTAGCCCCGGGACTAGTCACCAATGGTCTCCTCTTGTTGAAATCACTCCCTAGCACCGACGACAGCAGCAACCAGCCCACGCCGCTGTCAGAGTCCCCCACATCAGAGAACCCATCCACCAGATCCCCAAACCCTCCCCCTAAGTCCCTGATCCCATCTCCTAGATCACCCAACCCTTCAGCTGTCACCACGACTGTCTCTCCGGCCACCTCCGCAATGCTGTTGATTCCTGTCTTAACAACTTCTCCAGCCTTTCCCAACCCTTCCCCCATGACGTCAGCCACGTCACCAAGTACGGATAAGTCCAGATCAGCTGACTCTCCCAGTTCTTCTCCTGCGTCATCATTCACATCTGTCACATCGTCTGCTACAGCATCGACAATGTCCCCTAGTCCACCATCCATTGCGTCGTCAAGGTCATCGGTTGATTCCCTGAAAACATCATCAACGTCGTCATCTCTGTCACTAATTGCGTCTTTAAAATCTCCAAAGACATTTTTGACCCCATCAGCAACATTTGAGATTGCGTCTTGGACAGAGTCACTCTGAATTGAAAAGAATAGATCATTTACATTGCATTTGCCTCATCAGAATGTATGTAACAAAATTATTTTATAGCTAGTGTGAAAACTGGTCGATATAAGATGTATATTGGGACGTCATTTTTAGGAGCCGTTTAGTCTAAACTTAATAGGATAAAATAACCCTAATATTAATTGGTTCAATTAAATGATGTTGTTGCGGTCATGTGATACGTAAAATGATATTTGCATGCTCCCACATTGAACGTTCGGGCAACAGAAAGGAAGCTTTTTTATGTGAACAGAGAAAACAATTAGCAATCATTGTCGACACTCTGACAACTAGACTGTGGAAGAAATAACAAAATAGCTTTTGACGCTGTGCCGTCTTGTTTGAGCCAGTAGCTGACCACCCGAAAGAATTCGAAACCGCAACATTTTAACCCTGAGGAAAGTTGCGTGAACATCTGCCTTGCGTATCAGGGCCCACAACCGAATGTTTTCTACATTCAGCAATGACAGAGTTATTCATACATTTTTAAATAATTATTTTAATTTATAATGTTTTTATTAAATGCTAAAATCATGTTTCTACAACAATAATTGGAAAGTTTTCTTTCAACCGAATTCAATCGCAATGTTAACTAGGGCAGGATACAGAAACCTAATATTGTGAAATAGAGAGCCTTGTTTGAAAGCTATCCCTTGTTGGAACGTGGGCCCTTAGGATATAGAAGAAGAAGATAACAATGACCTAACCAGAACTTAGAGAACATGGTTCTTGTGTTTACGTTGTTGCGACTAAATAAAAGTATAGAACTTACCGACGCTATGACAGCTGTACCTATGGAGTTGACAGCTGTACCTATGGAGTTGACAGCTGTACCTATGGAGTTGGCTCCTGAGTTGTAAGTCTTGACGGGGAATTTGTTGTTGAAAGAAGATGACACTTTGACACTATTGTCTTTCTGTGCAAGAAATGATGAGAGTCAATGAAAAGAGCGATTGTAGAACTAAAAAACAACAACAAAACTGAGATGACAGCCATATGTGAAAATGGAGAACTATTTTTGTACATACCGCCGCTTTGTAGTTACGGGCATTTTTCCAAAAGGATTGCCAGAATGAATTTTTTTTTAAAATTGCGATGCCAAACTTTTTTAAGGTCTCTTCGATACATTGACCTCTTTATTCAGGTTCATGTGTGCTTGGATCAGGTAAGGGGTGGAGCATCTGTGACGAAGAAGAGGGGCGGGGGCAGTGTTCAGCCAAGGCGAAACTTTTCTCTGTATATGGAAAAGTATGGGGTGGGAATTTTCAACTTCAAGGCTTTGCCCTCAGCCCACTTAGAGAATCTTTAACCATAGCTACCCCACCTAAGGGGAGGGGGGGGGGCGATAAATCTGACAGTCACTGGTGTATCTGGAATTTAATGCTATATTTATTTATTTAGGCATTTTTGTATAGCGCTTATCTTATAGCTCTAAGCGCTTTACAATTATTAAAAATATGTAAACTATTTAAACTGCTAAAGTAAAATACAAATGAAAAACCAGAGACACTAGAATAGTAACTACAATGTGAAAAATGATTATAGAAACAGTAGCTTAAACATTAAAATGGCTATAAAAACGCTTACACTTTGGCACGTTTTGGCCCATACTACAGGATCAACCCGAGACAGAAAATGAGGCAGGGCAAGGAGGGTGCATCACAGGTCATAGGCGGACCTAAACTGATGGGTTTTAAGGGACTTTTTGAAAGGGGACGAGGTTTCACAATGACGGATGTGGAAGGGGAGCTGGTTCCAGAACGTGGGCGCATGATATATCTGGCAGTCAATGATTCATCTGGTAGTCAGTGATGTATTTGGCAGTCATGTATATGGCAGTGATGCATATGGCAGTGATGTATATGGCAGTATCCATGTCGATATTTCTTTTCGTCGTTGAACGGTCTGTAGTGGAAATGTCTGTCGAACAAATGTCTGTCGAACAAATGTCTGTCAATGAAATGGTTTGTCGATGAAGTTTCAGGTAACCCATTGTTATTTTTAAAAAATAGAAATCCACGTCACAAAGATGCCCATGTGCACGCGGTCCGAGGCTACCAACGCCACGTTTTAAAACTCTAGTTTGTCGTTTCGAAACGGTGCGCATATATGGATCATCCATTAATCAAAGAGCTTTGTTCTAAAAATAGCCTAGTCGACGCAACATAATTATGACAGCACGGACTCGAGGGTCGCGTGATGTGCAGCGATGTCATCTGACATGTTGCTGCGTCTGTCATCTCCGTCATGACATGACGTCCTTCGAGTCACGTCAGCGTGGTGCGAAATAAAGTCACCCAGTCTTCCAAATATTTATTCTCAAAATGTAACCCCATGACCCCAAAAAGGGTAATCACATTTGGTTTTAACTACCGCAGAGAAAAAAGAAGTAATTGTGAAAGAAATAACAGTTTCACATAATGAATTTGGCATCTAAAAATAGTTTATTTTTTCCGTATATATTTCTTATACATAATAGTTGACTTTATTTCATTGATTTATATGACACAGTCTTCTAACAGTAGGTTAAGTGATACGACTTTGCCCACTATAACACTGGCTGATGATGCAGATGTCTAAAACATTATATTTTTAACAATGAATTTAAATTATTTAAAAATATTTATTTGCTAAAAAAAACTTTAGGTCTCTCTTTTTCTCTTTTAAATAATTATGCCTCAGACATGTACATTAAAAAAAAATGCTATTTGTGTATGGTACAGCAGAGTATGTGGTGCAGTGAAAGAAGGTGCGTGTTATGGTACAGCAGAGTATGTGGTGCAGTGAAAGAAGGTGCGTGTTATGGTACAGCAGAGTATGTGGTGCAGTGAAAGAAGGTGCGTGTTATGGTACAGCAGAGTATGTGGTGCAGTGAAAGGCGTGTTATGGTACAGCAGAGTATGTGGTGCAGTGAAAGAAGGTGCGTGTTATGGTACAGCAGAGTATGTGGTGCAGTGAAAGAAGGTGCGTGTTATGGTACAGCAGAGTATGTGGTGCAGTGAAAGAAGGTGCGTGTTATGGTACAGCAGAGTATGTGGTGCAGTGAAAGAAGGTGCGTGTTATGGTACAGCAGAGTATGTGGTGCAGCGAAAGTAGGTGCGTGTTATGGTACAGCAGAGTATGTGGTGCAGTGAAAGAAAGTGCGTGTTATGGTACAGCAGAGTATGTGGTGCAGTGAAAGTAGGTGCGTGTTATGGTACAGCAGAGTATGTGGTGCAGTGAAAGTAGGTGCGTGTTATGGTACAGCAGAGTATGTGGTGCAGTGAAAGTAGGTGCGTGTTATAGTACAGCAGAGTATGTGGTGCAGTGAAAGTAGGTGCGTGTTATGGTACAGCAGAGTATGTGGTGCAGTGAAAGAAGGTGCGTGTTTTGGTACAGCAGAGTATGTGGTGCAGTGAAAGTAGGTGCGTGTTATGGTACAGCAGATTATGTGGTGCAGTGAAAGAAGGTGCGTGTTATGGTACAGCAGAGTATGTGGTGCAGTGAAAGAAGGTGCGTGTTATGGTACAGCAGAGTATGTGGTGCAGTGAAAGAAGGTGCGTGTTATGGTACAGCAGAGTATGTGGTGCAGTGAAAGTAGGTGCGTGTTATCCTTTGTTTCATTGTCTGTCATAGGATTTATAAATACAGGGTTAGGAACAACAGAACAAAAGTGGACAAATAAATTATTTGTATTTATTAATATTATAAAACAGTGACGTATTTATTTAGACGTAGAGTGTTAGAAGCTGACTCTGAATAGAGTAGGGGTATATATGGTACAAAGGCAATCATTTAATGAAATACATACTAACTTCATAAAGTTATGTAATACAGTAAGTTAAACACACATACGCGAACATATACAGAAACACAGACACACATGCACGAATCACGTACGCACACACACACACACTTTCACACACACACACACACACACTTTCACACACACAAATTATGCAATAATAGCAAAAGAAGATTTTTTTTTTTTAATTTGTTAACTTAATGTTAGCAAATATAGAAATAAATTAGTCGTGGGCTGAATTTAGCGTGTCTTTTGTGACGTTAGGATATCTTGAACAAAGCTAAATCAGGTCAACCGTGACTTTCTGCTTGTCACCAGGTAAGACATGACGCCATTGCCTTACCACCAGCTATGCTATTTTTATACCAGTTTAAAAAAAATTGCCGTGGATTTTAAACGTTTTAAACCTAATGTTTTTAGATTGCTATTCTCTCTCTATTCATTTGTGTTAGGTATCTGATTCCAAACAACCGTCGCCACACTATTGTCTCTCCTTATCTACAGACCACAAGCTCTGACATGAAGATGTGATAGATTTGTAACAATAAAAAGCTACTTAATAATTTTAATTTATTGATACAAAACATGAGTGACATTTCTTGCAACTCTTCATTCGGTTGACTAGGCTACCAACTTTATTGAGGGTAATAAGGTGAGAGACTGCAATCAGGTTAGCACAATAAAAAATTAGTAAAAGAAAGTAAGATTAAACCTTAAGGAAAGGAACGCAACAAAACAACAAACGTGTCGGTAGGAAGCCTTCGTCATCCAACAAACGGAAAAAAAGGAAAACATTAAAAAATTGCACTGTGCTGAGAAGCATTGTCCGGAGGGCAGCCATTGAAATGCGACAGAAAGTATGTGGGTAGGAGATTAAATAGGGAAGAGGGAAAGAAAAGAGGAAAAGTAAGTCCACTGCGATTAGTAGTGACGTGGAGGGGTGAGCTAGGCTCAAGCTGTGAATAGAGACATGACGTTCATGCCTTGTGGTGTCAATGTGCCACAGGTCAGGATAAGCTTGTGTTCCAAAATTCACCCACCTGGGTGTATTTGTGCTAGCCACGATCACACATATTGACAAGTCTACCTTGCTCTGGTGGTCGCTTCTATTGAAGTGTTTGGAGACGGGACACCGTTTATCTTGCGTACTATTACGCAGGTGTTTAGTGCACCTGTCAGAGGGTCAGCGTCCTGTCTCCCCAATGTACGACATCTGGCAGCGGGTGCAAACAATGGCGTAGACAACGTTGCAGATAGTGCAAAGGAAACCGTCAGTAGCTGAAAACTGTTCTTAGGGAAACGTATGTGTTGAGACTTGACGACAAAAGGGCAAGTGCGTACACAAGGCTTGGTCCCAAAGTGGGATGGGGCACCGTTGATGAGACTGCACACAAGGTGGTCTCACATATATATATATCACGTCTGAAAACAATGAGAGGCGGGGATGAGAAAATGCCCCGTGTTTCGGTATCCGCGAGTAGTATAGGACGGTTTTTAAGTTTAGCTTTTAGATTGTAAGGGTCATAAGTGATAATAAGTTTGGTCCTGTCATCGTTGTCGCTCGGTCGTGGCCTGATGGCAGCAGCACGGGTAACATTCTTAACCCTTTGAAGGGCTGATGAAAGCACTGTATCCGGATTAGAACTAAATCTGCATTAGTATCATCTCAAGCGCTTTGACCCAAACGTCATCTTCCGACCGACAAAGTCGACGAAGACGAAGTAATTGAGAACAAGAAATAGAGTCTTTACGAGATTTAAATGTTAGAGGAAGACTAGAGTAAATAGCTGTGGCTGTCAGTGGGTTTAAAGTAGGCAGAGGTGAGTAGGCTGTCTTTTTGAAGAATGACTGAAATGTCCAAAAAGTTGACTGAGATCTCAGAGGCAAGAGATGTAAATTAAATGGAAGGGTGAACGTAGCCTTCAGAGTTAACGAATTCAGGAGGCGTCCAGTACAGATTCTTTCGACCATGTGTTCGAAATTTCCCATGAACAATTTCCCTTTAAAATGATACTTCTTGTGGCCGCCATTTTCGTCCTCTCTACTACCTGATGACATCATATATTTGGTAACATTTATAATTTTACTAATTTCACAAAGATAAGGGACAGTCTTTCAAGGGAGACCATTGATTTTGCAGGGTCACTATGCCTGAGGGATACCAATATTTACATTGGAACAATCTGTCATGGGGCATTGTTTATGTCAACAGGACAATATGTCTTGGGGAACTGTTTATGTCAACAGGACAATCTGTCATGGGGCGTTGTTTATGTCAACAGGACAATATGTCTTGGGGAACTGTTTATATCAACAGGACAATATGTCTTGGGGAACTGTTTATGTCAACAGGAGAATATGTCTTGGGGAACTGTTTATGTCAACAAGACAATATGTCTTGGGGAACTGTTTATGTCAACAGGACAATCTGTCATGGGGCGTTGTTTATGTCAACAGGACAATATGTCTTGGGGAACTGTTTACGTCAACAGGACAATATGTCTTGGGGCATTGTTTATGTCAACAGGACAATATGTCTTGGGGAACTGTTTATGTCAACAGGACAATTTGTCTTGGGGAACTGTTTATGTAAACTGGACAATATGTCTTGGGGAACTGTTTATGTCAACAGGACAATATGTCTTGGGGAACTGTTTATGTCAACAGGACAATATGTCTTGGGAAACTGTTTATGTCAACAGGACAATATGTCTTGGGGAACTGTTTATGTCAACAGGACAATATGTCTTGGGGAACTGTTTATGTCAACAGGACAATATGTCCTGGAGAACTGTTTATGTCAACAGGACAATCTGCTTTTATGTCAGCCCGTGTAGCCAAAAATTCAGTTTGGGTATAAGCTATCATGGATGACACATGTAGGCTATCATGGATAAAATATGTAGGCTATTATGGATGAAAAATGTAGCCTATCATGGATGACACATGTCAGCTATCATGGGTGACACATGTAGGCTATCATGGGTGACACATGTAGGCTATCATGGATGACACATGTAGGCTATCATGGATGACACATGTGTCCTTCTTTAATTAAAATATATCTTCAATAATTAGTGGGATTTTAATCAAAGACGGAATACATTTTAGGATCAGTTGTTTTTGAACGAACAGAATTACAACTGAATAGATCAGCTCGTTAAATGATTCCTACCACAGAGTAACTGGCTGCTCATCTTTACAACCCAAGATGTAGCGGGGACCCATCTAATGCCAATCACTTACCGCTTCAGGTATCAGGTTACCGGTAAGGTGGAGCCCCACCAGCACCCCAGTTACTCCGAGTAAACCAGCTAGTCCACTGATGATGGCCCATTTCAGGGCTGTGTTGGTGCACGTACTTGCCAGCAGGACTGGGGCTGCCTTGAGAGAAAGAGAGGAGACATGTCCAGCAGGCGTTCCAACGTGTTGATCACACAATGTAAAGGGTTAGCGTGGCTCAAAATACGTCATCAGTTCAATAATAAACTAAATGATCAAAGAAATGTCATGAACCTACTGATAAGCTGAATGAAATACATATATATTTTGTTCTGACCACCGAAGCATTGAAATAGGACTGGTCTGTAGAGCCATGCAACACATTTTGTGCGACCACATGTTCCTCATGCTTTGCCACTCGTAGTTTCTAAAGTACACTAGCAATAACCCGCCCATAATGATGGAGAAATTCAATAAGTCAAAAAGGGAGCACGTTAAAAAGGGCCCTTAAGTTAAAGGAAACCTCGCTTTCAACAAATGTAACATTAATGACTTCCCATGGAAATCTACTTTTTTGTCAATGTATAGCATGGCTTAAAGGGAATTATGAAATGACCCATACAATTGACAGCTTTTTTAAATGAAGTGAATATTTTAGATTTCAGCTCAACACACTCACTATTCTCTACTAACTAAGAAGAAACTCATTTAAGCATTTATCAAGTGCGACGAAAAATTTCTTAAAATTCAGCGTTCTGTCTAAATCTATCGATTACCAACAAGTTTGACTTTGTGAGCGTTAGTTCTATACATACGACTTGAATTATGCTATTTGATAAGATAGTTTGAGATGAGGCATTTGTTCAGTGCTAATAAGATCCTGTGTATCTTATACACATTTGAAGCTTGCATACGTCAGTATTGTATGTTGAAAAACTGCCTAAAAATAGGTCTGGTTTTTAATAAATAATAATAAAATAAATTTTAATGAAATAAATGACGCAGAAGACGATGGAAGTCCTATAACAAAAGTGTATGGATTTTTTTTTAATTATACAAAATTTTACCATTCTGACTGAAGACAAAATGGTTTGCTAAGCAAGTTAGAGCTTTGTCCTGTGTGCCGTGTGCTGTGTCCTGTGCGCTGTGTGCTGTGTGCCGTGTGCTGTGTCCTGTGTCCTGTGTGCAGTTCTACAAACGATGTAATATTTTAAGTCGAGACAGCTCTGACATCTACTTTTCTATTTTAGACAGGAAGCTCAGACAGTTTACGTTAAAATTGTCCCCATATATCTCACCTGGAAAGTCTTGATTTCCTTTGTAGATGTATAATTTTGTAACAAATTGTGTTTGTTGAGGGTTTACATATGACATGGTGTTAGAATGGGAGCTGAGCAAATTCATGCGAGATAATATATGTGCACAAGGATGCTTAATTGTTTCAATCGTCTACCCCAAATCTATCCAAACTCTATATGTTGTCTAGAATAAATGACACTGAAAAGTCAATTGTATGAAATGGCACGACTAACAAATTCTCTTATAAATTTCCAATTGCTAGGATTTTGTCTTCTGGAAAAAAATAATTAATTAATTTTTTTAAATTTTTATTGCTTTAATTAAAGAGTAGGTGTACACTATGCTTGTACCAGTCTCGTACATGTACAGCAATCTTGTAACAGTCTATTGACAAGTTTATAGTTACCTCTGCAACTATCACATATCAACATCTGTTCTTACATTACCTCTGTAACTATCACATATCAACATCTTTTGTCCATACATTACCTCTGTAACTATCACATATCAATATCTGCTCTTACATTACCTCAGTAACTATCACACATCAACATCTTTTGTCCATACATTACCTCTGACTCAAATACTCCCATGTTTATGGATTAGTCTGTCTATATTTTTCGGTCTGAAAATAGCCGCAATCTGTCAGGGGTATCACACCGTAACTTTGGACCTTCTAACTGACGTATCTCTTATTGGTAGGATCTGAAGAGTCCAATTGTAACTGTGGCCTAATAGAGTCCATTGACGAACGATTGTGTTCATTATGGCCCCGGTCCTACATCGTAAGGTATTTTGTAACCTTTTTGTCCAGTTTGAAATAGATCTTGTACCGTGCACTGCTTTGATCATGTGACGGTGCTCTTTATCATCTGGGCCGTGAAATAGTTCCGAAAAGTTAAACTATCTCTACAGTTTAGATGTAACACATAATCCCATGATTCTCTACAGTTTAGATGTAACACATAATCCCATGATTCTCTACAGTTTAGATGTAACACATAATCCCATGATTCTCTAAAGTTTAGAATTAACACATAATCCCATGATTCTCAGAAGTTTAAATGTAACACACATTCTCATGCTTCATCTTAGAATAGTGCTTAAATCTCTAGGTCACAAAACACACCTGATGGTCATTTCTATTTGCCTTATTATTTGACACTTCACATCACCACGACAGACACCAGGCCGTTCACCTGGATGAAATAATGTGGTCAAGTCGAGGTGAATTTACGGGAGACAACTGAGACAAGCTTTATACGTGGTGGAACCTGATGTGGGAAAACACGTAACCAGGATTATAACTTCGCATCCCCCCCCCCCCAAATCCAACACCTCCCCACTCACTAACGTTCTCTCGCGATAGGTGAGAACATTTCTCTCAAGTGTGTGTGTCTGTGTGTGTATGTGTCTGTGTGTGTCAGTGTGTGTGGCAGATGACGGGCAGACTGTTGTCATGAATGTTACTTAGTATCAGTCAGTCCTTTTGGCTTGGATGATAATATAAAGTAAACTTGTTACGGACAATATAAAGCAACCTTGTTACTGACAACATGATGCAACCTTGTTACTGACAACATGATGTAACTTTGTTACTGACAACATGATGTAACCTTGTTACTGACAACATGATGCAACCTTGTTACTTGTCAACTCCTACACCGTCTTCTTGGATTGATTACATTCGTCAGTTCTTTCATACGTTGAAGCGTCGTACTATTCTCACTATCAATTAACAAACTCAACTCCTTTTGATAATAACTATAACTTTAATATCTAAGTAAATATAATAAACATCCTATCACTCCAAGGTTCCACTCAAGACTGCCGCATGACTAAAACATACGTCACAACACTGCATAGACAATACGTCACGACTCAGCATAAAAATACGTCATAAACACAATGGCGGGAAGAGCGTTCAATAACTATAATAGTCAAGCGCGGGAAAAGCGTTCAACAACTAATGAACATAATATTGAGTCGCAACAATTCCTAATGAACGCTCATACTCGACATTACTGACAACATGATGTAACTTTGTTACTGACAACATGATGCAACCTTGTTACTGAAAACATGATGTAACCTTGTTACTGAAAACATCATGTAACCTTGTTACTGACAACATGATGTAACTTTGTTACTGAAACATGATGTAACCTTGTTACTGACAACATTATGTAACCTTGTTACTGACAACATGATGTAACTTTGTTACTGACAACATGATGCAACCTTGTTAATGACAACATGATTTAACTTTGTTACTGACAATAAGATGCAACCTTGTTACTGACAACATTATGTAACCTTGTTACTGACAACATGATGTAACTTTGTTACTGACAACATGATGCAACCTTGTTAATGACAACATGATTTAACTTTGTTACTGACAATAAGATGCAACCTTTTTACTGACAACTAAGAACGTCAAAATAATTAGGACGAGCAATCAAGTTTAGACTTCAAGGTGAGACTTTTATCATTAATCTTGGCTGAAAAAACTTATTGTTTCTAAATACAATTTATTTCAATTTTAAATGGACATTTTTATATTTAATCATTCTCAAAGAGTTCAAATTGTTGTTTTTAAAAAAAGGAGAATTCTTTTAGAACTACAATTGACACTATCCTAAATGATAACTGGGATGTAAGGGGTTCAATCACTGACTGTTTGAAGTCTGACTATCACAAAATCCAGAAAAAGAATAGTTATCCATATATAGATATGAGATGTAGAAGAAATAAGATATGCACTAGGAATCATGGGATATTTTGTTTTCACGTCACTTAAATCATTTAATATATTCACAACATCTCCTTTCACTATACAATCGTATGTACAATGTTACGCACTGGTTCTCTTGTGAGAAATTAATCTCCTATTTTAAATTTATGGCTGACAGTGCCTAACAAAGGACGATACTATAGATAAATACAAAAGAAAAATTACGACACTTAAAACAGTTGCCAATTACAATTAACAAGATTTAATTTAGTGATAATACAATTACAAAACAAAAGAAATATAATTCTTTAATTATCAACTTACAGAATGTCGGTAAATCTTGTACCGTTACACAATCAGTACAATGTGCCAGTTAATAATGATGAATAAAGAATGCGAATAAACACATAAGTACACAAAGAATAATACACGTCTCGTGAAGTTAAAATATATCTATCTGAATCTCCCTGTCTCTCTGTGCCTTTATATATGTTGGTCTAACGACGCGTCTAGAAACGCCGTTACTTTTCTAATAGAATCGAGAACCTTCGACAAGACACTAGTAGACATACTAGCCATGTTTAATTGGAAGTCGGTAATGCACTAGATACATCAAAGAGATTTAACCACGCCCACAACAAACGTTACTGTCAGCTAGTTGTCTAACGCGGGGTCAAAGAAAGTTCACGCGATGGGAAAAAAGTGTACTACATAACAAAACTATGTTATGTACACAAATCTCCATCTACAAACCCAGTTTGTTTTATGTCTGCTCAACTGTAAAACCGATGCTCCCATACGACCAAATTGTCCAGTCTTTATTTGTCCCAAATACTCTGTGCTACTATGCACGTGGAATATAGAATATTCAGTATTACATTTGTCTTCCATCAGTTGTTCCCACATTCAAAATGATATCCGTGATAATAAATGAATGCAATTTTGGCTTTCTATATGTATTACACAATCTCTTTGGCCGCATTGTATTTATTTTCGATATTGTTATCGTCTTAAGTTATTCTTTGAGACTAATGCATTAAATGTTAATTTAACATTCTGTTGCTGAAAGAAGAAGAAAAAAAGACAGCCCACCATTTTGTTGATAGGCGGGACAAAGATTTTTTAGTTTCGTCTTGCCAATCATTTGAACTTTATGACCCTTAAAATTTAGTTACGACTTGTTTCCATCAGAAATTCTGCTCTACCCTGCACCCACCATCCTCTTCCAACTCGTATTTAACATTAAATATAATTTTTCAAGTTATATATATAAGAATGAGCTAGGATCACATAACGCCAGAAGGGAGAACTTTTTAAGTACATTCGGATTCCTAAAAACAATCATAGTTATTTTCTATTATTTTTCGGAAATCGAATAAATTTTAATGCGCAAAAAATATTTCAAATCCGCTTTTATTTTAGCAAAATTTTTAAGTTGTATTATTATAAATTTTTAAAAAAATCTAAGGAACGGTTGAGGCGACAACACTAGTCACATTTGTGTCTATTGCCTCAAGCCTTCAAACCCCTAGTGCATGATTCCCTCACAAAGTGGCACTGGAAATCAGTGAAGTTTCCTCATCAACACCAGGAAAGGAAACATTGCAAATCCCATCTACATGCAAAGGAGCCAAATGATCAATAAATTGATTGTGGGCCCTTAAGATATAGAAGAAGAAGAAGGAACTAATATAAATATTTTATCCGAATGTAAAAGTTATGAAAAAAAAAATTAATCAAAATGTTATGATATAAGAATTGCATCTGATCAAATTTATCGGGAAAACCCACACATATGTTACTCTTAGTGCGTATTTTAGTGCCTTTTTAATTTTGCGAAATAAAGAAAGATAGATAGATAGATAGATAGATAGATAGATAGATAGATAGATAGATAGATAGATAGATAGATAGATAGATAGATAGATAGATAGATAGATAGAATCTATCTATCTATCTATCTATCTATCATATATAGATAGATAGATAGATAGATAGATAGATAGATAGATAGATAGATAGATAGATAGATAGATAGATAGATAGATAGATAGATAGATAGATAGATAGATTGATTGATTGATTGATTGATTGATTGATTGATAGATTGATTGATTGATTGATTGATTGATTGATTGATTGATTGATTGATTGACTTACTGACTGACTGACTGTTAATTTTGTTAATATGAACTATATACATACAATTTCAAATTGTATACACTCCTACACCATTCAAGCGATTGCGATAAAACCTATCTAAGAAAAGGATGGATAGGTTTTTAATAAATTACAAATTGTGGCATTAAATTGTGTGTGTGACATATCAAGTAGGTTTCTGAAGTAATACAACAATTCTACAATATTCCGTTTGTGGCCGGGGGCCCAAAATTCGTTTTCCACCCTTTTATTAACTATATAACTATCGTAAGCATTTCTATACCATTCATCCGATTGTGATAAAACGTAATCAATTGAAATGCGCACTATCGCAAATGTTTCTAAATTAGAAAAACTTGTTACAATATTCCGTTTGAGCCAGTGACCATAATTTCGTTTTCTCTTCCAAGAGCTTTATAACTATAATTTCAAACAGAGCTATTGCTTGTGTGGATGGAACTGAATCCACTCGCAAATTTTTCTAACTTAGTACAGCCATTTTACAATATTCCTTTTCGTTTTCGTAAAGGAACTTCATCAATATAATTTTAAAAAGGAGCTATTAACACTACCCTCCTTGAACAAATGACACATTTGTAGTAAAGCAGAGAAAACACGTATTTCATTTTTAGTGTAGAGAGTATTATTTTATTTTTGTTATAAATAAGCTTGAATTTTGTGAGGCACTTTAGAATTGGATATGATGTTGAACACATGTTTTTGTTTTTTTTCAATTAAAAGTATTTCTTGAATAGAGTCTTATAATTTCGGAGTTGTTTTGTGTTAATGTAAACTCATTTTACATTAATCGATGGGTTCATAAGTAATTAAATAACACACTTGACAAGGTAGGTATTGAACTATGGTAATATCGTGATTTTAACACTGGAATTTATGATTTATGTAAGTGAATGTGAAGCTATACAACTGGAACTCTCCTGCCAACAATGAACGTACCTATTATATGAGGTTTTTGTGTAATAAGATGGAAGATACTAATGTATGAAAATTATTAAAGTTAGCAATAGTGTAAATTAATTGAATCAAATACAAACAGCGGCATCTCATTTTGTGTGTGACCTAAGAAGTTGTGTTCATTGTGAAATACAATTGCTAAGAACAGATATCACCTGCATTTGTAACATTCGCCACAAAGCAATAACTTCGCTGTCAAATCGATTATGCAACATAAAAACGAAAAGCTATTGGTTTTTCTACATCTCAAGCGCGAAAGAAAAAAAATCATCACGCGCTTCGGAAACATTTGAGAAACGACAAGCAAGACAAGAAACAGCTCGAGTACGCAATGCTCAAATCCGTTCGTCTGAAACAGTCGAGCAACGAGAAACAATAATAGATTCCGATAGAGT